TAAACTCCACCAACACATCTCAGTGTCAAACTATTCACAGATAAAATGGTGTGTGGGAATGACCTTGGGAGACAAGGCAAAGAGATGAAGCCAAGGGAACAGTCAGATAAAAGGCAACTTGGCCCACAGCAGGAATGTGGGCAGGACAAGATACTCAGAAGACACCTCCCATAGTTTTTGGGGTGTAAGGGGATAGGGGTTGGGGGCAGAAATATATTTTCAGACTTGCAAGATATTGTTAATATAACCTTAGAGTACAGTAGAATTAGTTCATTTGGCCATGTTTTCTGTCTGGTCTACCTCACAAGGCTGACATAATAAAGCTAGATATAAGATTTAAACTGTTAACTTGAAAGGATTAGACCAGAGGTGTCAAACTCATGGCATCACAGCATCATCATGTGACATATCAGGACCTCCGCCCACTTCACTAAACCGAGCACGGCGTGGCCAGCACATGACATATCTGGCCCGCAGGCTGGGAGTTTGACAGCCCTGGGTTAGACAGAGTTTGAAAAACTAATTATAAATGAAACATATTTATAAATTTAAGATTTAAAATGCATGAATGAACTTTAGATAGAGTTAAATATTTTAGAACTGATTGGTTTGATTTAAATTGCATCTGTTTCATTTGACAAGTAGTCTACCATGATAAAAATGGGCTGGATATTTGCTGTTTTTTAAAACGAATAATAGCTTGGAACTGTTTATCTTGAATTTTAAGAAAAAACTATGGCTGCTGCTGAAAGCATATTTATTTATTCTTGCAAATTATTTATTCTTGTAAATTACGAAGTCTCTTTTTTCTTTTGTTAATTGTTCATTCTGAACCAACACAAAATATATTCTTGTGCCATTTACTTTCCACTGTTTGACAAACAAATTCGTGAAAAAGAAATGACTTTTTTAATTTGAGTAGAGTCAGCAAAACTAGTGTTGTGCTTAAAGTTTTTGACACAGATTATTGGAAGCTTAAGTTCAAATCCTGCTCAATTAAATTGGTGTGTACCTTTGAACATTACTTTCCAGGACTGTTGTGAGATATAAATGTGGAAGAAATAGGAGTATTGTGTATATATTTTAAATTCTAAGAAAAAATGGGATGTGAATGAAGCAACATGTAAGTATTTATCTAAACTCCCACTAAAACCTTTTAAAGATATTTGTGCCTCAATGAATCAAAATTTACTTTAGAGGAACATATAACTTATTCCCACACCGAATAAATAATGGGAGGGCATTTTAATCTATATAGAACTTGTAGGTCAGAGGGATAAGGTGGCCCAGAGCTCAACTGATTTAGAACATAGCAATGTGTAAATCAAGTAGGGAATTCAAGTCTTTGATGTGAGGAACAACTGAAGAGCTTGAAATCAGCATGTGAGTGAGAGAGATTAACTTCTCCATATTATAATGTAGCAAAGTCAGTTATTTGTTTCTTCGACAAGCAGAAAAAGATACTCCTGAAATGGAGCTGCATGCTTTGCCCTTAGTCAGTTTGTGCACACTTGTCCATCAAAGCTGGAGGCTTATGACAGTGGGAAACCATGAGTGTCCTTCAGCTGCTTGGCTGACTCCAGATCATGTATCTTCTGTAGAAAACCCAGGCCAGGTGTTGCAAGGAGAGTGATGGAAAGAGTTTCTTTAACAACCCACTGGGAATAACCGTCTGATGAAAAACTAGAGGGAGTAAAAAGCAAGCAGGCATTATATGGGTGCGTGTTAGGATGGGGGAAAACTCTGACTCTGCTTGACCAATTAAGATAGGATTTGGGGAACATTTTATCCATCTTGTCTTCTCCAATACATTTTTCATTGGTTGTACAATGGAATTTCCTATAATCTTATGAGTTAGGAAGGGGAAGGAATGACCCAAAAGCTTGCATGTATACCATATTCCTCTAAATATTTATTCTCATTTAAATGCTACAGCCTCTCTAAAGAATGCTATGTAATGCGGTTTGGCAATCGTATTAAGAATTTTTTTGTCTTCTTTAGAGGTTTCACAGGAAAAAGTGAATATCTGTTAAACCAGATATGCTACGAAATTCTATCCATGTTTACACAGAAATCAAGTTTTGCTGTGGTCATTAAGGTTAATTTAAGTGTGCTTAATGTAAGCCCAAATCTGTTATGTACATACATTTTTGTATTCTCATATGGGTTGAGTCACATAATCGCTGTGCTGCTGAAGCTTCCTACTTGATGCTACCTGACTTGTTTGCAATCAGAAACTATCAGTCTTGCATAAATTTGCCTTGGTGTGCATTGACAAACTCTGAAGAATAAACAGCTTTTGTTTATGCAAGAGTAAGATAACCTGATCATTCTAAATCATACTCACAAAAGACATTACTGTCAGAAAGACCTTAGGAATAATTCCATTAGACACGAAATTAAGTTGATGATAATTTCATCAGCTATGGCTGGTCTTGCAAAGCTGGAGACACCGAAGTAGTATAATACTGTAAAATCCTCACAGGTACTACCTGCAGAGCAATTCAATTTCCCCTTTCCAGGAGAAATTTTAGTTTCTTAGACAAAATGCCTAATCATATGTTTAATGGAAGATATATGGGATGGAAAGATGTATTATGAGACAGAGTAAATTTAAGGCAAAATCACTAGTATGGCTTCTATATGTAAAATGGGAATGCATACCGCATCATCATTATTTCACTTTGCCTCAGTAAGCATAATGGATTAGGAGAGCCTTGGTATACTGTGCATTTCAAACATTTAATCCGATTAAAACTGGTTGTAAGAATAGCATCACTTTATATAGCGCTGATCACATAGCTGACACTGATTCTTTTCATATACAAAAATAGTTTTATTGAAGTAGTAGATGTTTATTATGCAAGTTATATCTCAGGATCAGTTGAGTATTCCTAGTTGAGACATTATGGAATAAAAGCAATTCATAGAATTGATGGCTGAGACCCAAGCAGTGACTGACAACCAGTCAGAGAGTTGAGGCTTTGTGCCCATATATACAGCATCAGAAAAGATCTGGGGTCCATCACACATACATTCTTCTCACCGGATCCCATGTCAATGCAGCTATTATTTATAGTTTTTGAATGCTTCCTACATTGGACAGTGCTTATTTATCTGATCATCTTAAATACTGAACAATTCTTGGCTATCTCTGTAGGCAAAGCCCAGGGCAGTTGCCCTATTATCCCCTCCCTACTTTTAAAGAAAGGCCCTGGGTTTTTTTTGCTATATGCACATTTTACCGGAACTAATTTTCAAAGCAATATGATTGTGGTGGGGAAGGGAAGGAAGGACTTTTCAGTAGAGCAATGAATTAATCATCTTGCTCTAGCAGGTTGCTAAAGAACAAGTAGTGACAGCTGCAAGAAGCCACTCAAAAGTTTGGAATGCTAAAAGCTGACCCAGCTGGGGCAGATTAGTAAAATGTGGGAAGGTGAGGCAGTCAAAGGTGCACCATAAATTATTTTTATTAGATGCAGGGTAGCATGGCAACTTATTGTATTCTTCTTTCTGGCACATAAGGAGCTAGAAGACTAAGAACTCTTCCTCCTTAAGTGTTTGATCGAAGGATACCATTTTTTTTTCTATCTCTGCTCACTCAAAGCAGCAGCTTCTACCTTGAATTCTTGTCTGACAAACCAGGGATTTTTCTTTTCAGACACCTGCACGCTGAGAAAAGCTTTGTTCTGTTTTGGCTTGTCAGGCAGCTGTTCAAGGCAAAGCAGCATTCAATATGGGCAATTTTAATTTGATCTAATGAAATATGGTAGAAGGAGTCAACCAGCATAAAAAAGTGTAACTTGTTTTTTTTTTAATCTAATAACATGCTTGGCAACTGTTTATTTGTCTAACGAAAGGAGTGAATAGAGAAATGAGGCTGTGTTTATTTAGCATTTAACAGATATTTCTGATTAAGTATGCATTAATGTTTACAACAAGCTTTAGATGACCAAAAGTGACAAAAAATTGACTTGATCAGAACTGGTTTCACAAGACTTTTTTCTTACTGAAAAATAATAGAATTTCAATGCATTTAATTGCTGATGGTTTACGGTATGGATTGATTATATTGTACAATATGCAATACTTTCTGTAGTCCCAGTTGCTGCCAGTAATAATACATTGCATTTCCCAAAAAGGGATGAACAGAGATAGCTGTTGAAAGTAAGAATTATTTTTTATTTTTTATTTTTTGCTTTAATTTATATGCCGCCCTTCTCCAGAAACTCAGGGCGGCTTACAATGCGTTAAGCAATAGCCTTCATACTTTTGTATATTTATACAAAGTCAGCTTATTGCCCCCACAATCTGGGTCCTCATTTCATCTACCTTTGAAAGGATGGAAGGCTGAGTCAACCTTGAGCCTGGTGAGATTTGAACTTGCAGTAATTGCAAGCAGCAGATGTTAATAACAGTGTGCTTTAGTCCACTGTACTACAGGCTCTTCATTCACTGTATTGGCCACTACACTCATTCACTGTATTGGCCACTACAATTAAATCTTTAGGGTTTTTTTCTTTTCTAAAACTACGCAGGAGAGGAGCAGACAAAACTAAAAACAAAGCAAATCCTTGGATTATGAAAGGGCAGAAACCAATGCATGAGGAAATCCCCTAGGACTACAAAAGAGAACACTTTCCCTTGTGAATACAGGAAATACCTGGTTACCCCCCCTTTTTTTTAATATATAAAAATAATCCTTTTTTTCTTAAGGATATTACCACTGATCCATCCAGACTGCTAAGCAGAGGGAGAGTAGGAAAGCTTTGTTAAATTCACTTTCAATTTCCTGCCATTTTAGACATATACTACACAACTGGTGGGGTAAGCCTAAAACACAATATATTTTAAGAAGTCTTGCTATCATGCTCAGAAAAATCTATCTATCTATCTATCATCTATCTATCTATCTATCTATCTATCTATCTATCTATCTCAGATCACTCATTTACAAGCAACCCCACCCTGCTATGTAAAAATAAACAGTAAATGTCATCTGTGGATACTGGTAGTTTATTTACTCCTGAAATACAGAGCATGGAACTTAGCAGAAATAATATAGAAAGTAGATAAATAGTGTCTTGCTAATCTCTTTTAATCTTAAAGGGGCAGCAGGAACTCCAGGGTAGTCCAAAAGGAGAGGTAGTTAAAAAATCAAGATGGCAGCCATGACAGTATGATTGAAGCATCACACCTTTTTATGTATCAGCAGGATTTTGATCACATGATTGCTGCTGCTGCTATTGTGAATTTTTTGATCTCCACTCTGCAAATATCTGGAAATTGAGAAACACAAAAATATCTAATCAATAATGTGATCTTGCCTCTAAAAACCTTGAATGTTCCTTTCAGAGTTTTACATGTATAGGGATTTGTATATTTATTGCAGGCAGGGCTATCACAAATTTGTAATTTGTGGGAGAAACTGGGAAATTTGTTCTGAACTGCAAGGGGTCTTCATTTGGGATTCTGACCAGTGGGATTCAAGTAATTTAACAACCGGTTTTCTGCCCTAATGATTTCTTCCAACAGCCAGTTTGCCAAACTGCTCAGAAAGTTAACAACCGGTTCTCCCCAAGTGGTGCGAACTGGCTGAATCCCACCATTGACTCTGACCCTACCTTGTTGAGCACTGGTATCCTTATACACCTGTCCAGACACTTTAAATCCTTCAGGTAGCCTTGCTGGAAGGCAAGACATCCCCTCAAAGAAACAGCCCAGTGATAAATAGTTTCACAATAAGTCAGAAAACCTGAAGTGCTATAATCATGTTTAAAATTTCGAAATGGGTTTCACAGCTAAATAATTGTGTTATCCGATGATGTCACTTACCTGCAATTAAAACTATATTCATAAATAAAAGTCCATCAAATTCACATTAGCTCATAGGGTGACAGTAGTTCCTTCCAGTGACATTGAGGCAATTAAACAAGTTTTAGCTTGTTCAGTTCCTAGCAGATCAATACATATATGTACGATGTATTAGGCTAATAATTATTGTAATTATTTCTAAAATAATGTAAATGTTTCAAATATATAAAAAGCTTGATGACAGTGAGCTATTTTTAGAAAAGGAATATATCAGAATCAAGAAGAGCCTTCATTTTTTTCATTTGTGGTTTAAAATCTGTTAGCTTTGTAGTATCAGAGATTCCTTTCCTTTCAAGAAACGGTGAGTGATCTGTTTTAACATGCATGTCCTGACTTGGCCCTTTTCTTTGGAATTAACAGGATATAAGGCTTACATTCAGCAAGCGTTATAACGTTATGTCTGTTCAATTCCTGATTTTATTATAGAGGAATGTTTACCATAATTTGCTTGACATGTGATTTCTACCCTAATTCTGCCTATTTGATTTTACAGTCTACAATATTTTACGACACGAAGTGATGCCTGTTTATGACTCAGATTCTATTGTTCTCTTTAAGTACAAAAATTAGTTCCTCTGAAAAATGGCAATAACTATAGCTTTCAGGGATTCCATGGGAGAAAGGGGAAGGGCTTTTCAATAGTCAGAATGCCAGCTTTGAAATCTTGCCTCCTTTTAAGGTGTGTATTTGTGATACACCTACAAAGGGGACATAATTCAGCCACAGATGCCATCTTGATTGAAGATGTCCTGATAGCCATGGTCAGTTGGACAAACTTTATAGTACCTTTTATCTTGGCTTGTATTTACGCCCTTCACTAGCAGATTTAAATGTTTAAAAAATGTGCTTTAGTTTGTTTTAAAATATGTCTACCTGTTTATCAATAAAGGATCAAGTTTCTTATAAAGTTTTCCCTTCCACTTTTGGATATACTTGCCTGTTTTAGATCAAAAAGTACTTTTCAGCTTCTTTGAAACCTGGAAATTCAGGATAGTAAGACACATAAAGAGATCACACAATGAGAGGAATTAAAAAATGATACATTGAAAATACTTTAATGAGTATGTTTCATATATTTCTGTATGCAAACAGCAATAAAAATTACACTTCATAATGAAGCTGTCTCCAAGGGAATTAAGGACAATTACAAAAGAGTAAAGTCTGTTGAACATAAAAAGGAGTAAATCCTATAAAACAATTTTCAAATACACATACAGAGAAATGCAATGAAAAATACGGTTTACAGATTATGGTATGTTATGCTTTGTTTTTAAATGGTTATTTATTTCAGAAGAAGGAGTGATGGCTCAGAGATTAAAGATGCTGAACTTGTCAACTGGAAAGTCGACAACCTATGTTTATGACCCAGATGCTGTGTGACAGGGAGAGCTCCCATTATTTGCCCCAACTTCTGCCAACCTAGCAATTTGAAAGCATGCAAGTGTGAGTAGATAAATAGGTACCACCTTGGGGGAAGATAACAGCATTCTGTGCACCTCAGTGTATTGTCATGCTGGCCACATGACCACAAGTGTCTTTGGACAATGCTGGCTCCCTCAGCTAAAAAATGATGAAACCCACCCCCTAGAGTTGCACATGACTGGACAGGGTAAACCTTTACCTTTTTTATATGGCTGTCCAACTCAAACATGGCAACTCTGGTGGCTTACATTAAAAATCAGTGTAAAACCTCACAAACTCCCCACCAACCCCTGTAATGGAGACCATGCACTCCCAGTGGCCACTTGATTAACTCCACATCAACCAGGGGACCTTAGGCCTGCTGATAAAATCACATCTTCAGGGCCTTCAGGAAAAGTAACAAAATGGAGCCAATCTTATCTCTTTGGGAAAGGTTCTTCAAAGGAAAAGAGCCACCAGAGAAGGGCTTTTTCCTTGGTCCCATTAGATGTATCTCTCTAATAGATGGGACCCGCAACACACCTTACCTTCCTGGTCTGATGGGCTGGGTAGATGTAACTGTGGAGACAGTCCTTCAAATAACCTGGCCCAAAACTATATTGGGCTTTAAAGGTGATAACCAGCACCTTAAATTATATTTGGAAACAGATAGTAACCGATGCAGCTTCTGAAAGAGGTGACATATGCACAAATCTTGATTTGCACAAAACTATTGCATTTTGAACCAACAAAAGCTTCCAAATACTTTTCAAGGGCAGCATAGAATGCATTACAGTAGTCCAAACAGGAAGTGACTAGGGCATAAGTGACTGTGAGGAGGGTGTGTTGGTCCAGGTAATTGGTACATAACTTGTACTTGTGCATAGGCCGTCTTTTGTGAGTCCAAAAGAATCTCCAGATTATACACTAGGTCTATCTGGGGCAATCCAACCCTATCCACAACTAACAATGGCAATTCTTTGAGAACCAAGGAGCACTGAATCCAAGGCCATTCTGCCAGGGTTCAGTTTTAGCTTATTGCTCCTCATCCAGACCTCAGCAGCCTCCAGGAACTGTGAAAGGGTGGTTGTGGCACCACTTAATTCATAGCAGACAGAGATGTACAATATGATTGCTGATCTCTCTTACCTATGGCGATTGATGATCTCACCCAGTAGTTTCATGTAGATGTTAAACCGGAGTGGAGAAAGCACCAACCCCCCTCCCAGAACCTAAATTACCACTTCGCTTCGGGTCCTGCAGTCGCAGGATCTACATTTGTGGGCTTCGCAACTGCCTTGCCAGAAGCAGAGTTAATTGAGAAGGCAGAAATAACATCTTAAGTCACTGTCACTGTCACATCTCTCTTAGCAACCAAGTTGCTGGTTCCAATTGTGGTTGCTAAGCAAGGGCTAGTATAGTTCCATGGGAAGCATCTTGAAGGTAATAAAGGGAGAAGCAAGAAGCTGACTTACTAGTTTGATTTCTGATTTCTGATAGTTTTGTGTTTTGTCACATCTGACATATTAGCCATTTTATAAACAGCAATTCCCTCTCCTATGGCAGTATTTTAAAAAATGACCATAATACAGTTTCAAAACTTCAAATGAGCAACCCGCAACCCAAAAGATTGGAGACCCCCAACCTATCTGTCATTAAAGGTCACATAGTTGCATAACCAAAGGTCACATATTCAAATCACAGATAGTATTTAGTAAAAGCATTCCAACTAATCAATATCTCTTTTGCCTTTCTTCCTGTCTGTTTTAGCTTCAGAAGTATAGCCTTTTATTTTTTAAAAAAATCAGAACATGGAGCTTTTACTCTAAGCATTATAGCCAAGCAAATCTGAAAATTTACCTGCACATTTAACTAGGTTAACCACAAAGGCTATTTTTCTCTTCTGGATCACAGTCTTTGCTTGCCAGGGAAACAAGAGGCTGGATCAGTTTTCTTACAGCCCTCTAGGAAGTGATCTTTCAGCTGTTGCTGTAACCACACATCTCCCCAGAAAGGCAGTGGCTCCAGCTAATTAGCACACGTGATGGGAATAGGAAACAAAAGCCCAAACAATAGTAGCGTGGGAACACAGCATGAACAACAATTACACCACTTCTAAAATAAATAAATCCATCCAACAATAGGCTATAACCTGCAAGTCAATAATTTGGGAATAATATTTAAAGTTTTGATTGGATTATTGTTCTAGCCTTACTGCCTCATACAATAGAACAGGGGTGTCAAACTCACGGCCTATGGGCCGGATGTGTCATGCGCTGGCCATGCCCATGGCCAGTTTAATGAAGGGGGGAAAAGTCGCAATACGTTACGTGATGACATGAGTTTGACACCCCTGCAATAGAGTCAATAAGACAAAATGGGATTCCTTTGTCCAGTAGGGGTCTGTTACCTCTAGTTTTAATTCTAAGTGGTGTAACTGTACCCCTGAAGGAGCAGGTCCTTGATTGTGCAGTTCCACTTGATCTCAGCTATTGGTAGATGGCAGCTGGAGGCCATGACCAGATAAGGTGATGTCTAGCTTCAGCTGGTGCAGTAGTTGGATGCTTACTTCGAATTGAAGGCCTTGAAGTGATGATTTATGGCATTCTTACTATGTGTCTAGACCAGTGTTTCTCAACCTTGGAAGCTTGAAGATGGGTGGACTTGAGCGCTTGAGCGCTGGCTGGGGGATTCTGGGAGTTGAAGTCCACCCATCTTCAAGCTTCCAAGGTTGAGAAACACTGGTCTAGATTATCATAATGCACTTTATATGGCAATACCTTTGAACCCCCCTCAGCAACTGCAGTTAATCCAAAATGCAGTGCGCCCACTATTGACCAGGGAGTGCATTCCCCCATAAATATTGAGCAGCTTATAGAAAAAGATGGGAGATTTTTTTCTGCATGGCCCTACTTTATTTTGGCTTATTATAAGCAGTTAATATTTTTGTCTGCTTTTTAAAAAAAGGTATTTGGTTTTTTTTTACAGTTTCTAGCTTCACCTACTTTGACATCATAAACCCACTGCTTGCATGTCGCACTCTCTTCCCTCCGTTGATTTGGCCCTTGGGCAATGAAAAATTGCCTGCCTCTTATTGCTTCCAGCAGAGATATGGGTATTGGTCAGTGATGTGGAAATGTCAGCAACCCAATGGAGAATAACAGGTTGACAGAAGATCTTCAGTGCTCTTCTTCTTTTGAGGAGAAAAAGACGTGCAAGAGAAATACGTTTTCAAAGTTAATTTAGCGTACTTGCAAGAGCAAAGGTCAATAGTAGTGGGTTTCCTTTTCAGGATGCCTTAAAACATCCCCCTCTTTTTTCAGTGTTATTTTGACTGAGTCATAAAACAGCCTCCTGGAGGAGGAAATAGAAAAGGACAGGAAATGCATCCCAAAATAAACATTGACCTCCAATGTTGGCTAAGAAAATGACACTTTCAGGGCTGACCCTGTTTCCCAGAAAACAGTTCAGCTGCCTTATTAGCTGTGAACCCCAAACAATTGAGCTTCCCTTAGTGTTTTCTGTATCTAAGGTGTGTAAGGAGAATTGAAACAACAGGGGGCTGGTAAATGGGCCAGTCCCTCAGGTTTGCTGTTCAGACAGTTTTTAGCTTCTGAAACTACTCTTTAGGGATATGAGCACCATATGGGAAAGAAATCTGCCAGATCTAAATGTCTGATCTTGCTTAGGCCCCAAACTCAAGATCAGAAGGACAGTTTTAAAGGGCTTTTAAACAATAAAACATCCATTCCCAACTTAGTTCTCTTCAGATATGTTGGGCTATAGCTCTCTCTCCTCTTCATTAGCCGAGCCATTGGGCACACAGTTTGGGAATGAGAGAAAATGCTGGGTATCAGGCTAGATTGAAAATAATTTCATTTTGGTCTGTTATCCTATAGAACACAATTACAGTAGCCAAAATTGGGTGTCAGGCTAGGATCTAGTAAAATAGCCTGCCAGTTCCAGGGAACAATTTCGTTTGGCGCCTATCTAATTCATCTGCAAGTACTTATGCTAACATGCCTAGATATTGTCTCCATAACTTCCTTTTGAAGTTTCTGTGAGAAGCTAAAAGAATCCGAGGTCTCTTAGGTCAATCAGAGCACACAGCACAGAAGCAGATGTGTTCTTTGTAAAATCATTCTATGTAATTTCCATTTAACACAAATATTTTTACGAGCATATGTACATATGGGTTTCTACTTTGTCAGCTTTTGGGTGCTAACACCCAAGTGGCAGTGAAAGCTGGACATTACATGACACAGAACTATAATTGCGTGGCTGTATAAGCAGATCAGTCTACAAGAAAGCAGTAGATGCTGAATTTCCAATTTGCTGCTCGTGATCAATAGCTCATCTTTAGAATCCAATCCATATTAGAATGTTTTAAAATCATTATTCAGATCTGCGAGGATTCTGATGCATTTTTGATGGCATGGGGTCAATTAGTGACCATTTGAAGTTACAATGGCACTGTAAAAAGTGACTTATGACCATTTTTCACACTTACGATTGTTGCAGCATCCCCATGGTCACGTGATTTAAATTTGGATGCTTGACAACTGACTCACATTTATGACGGTTGCAGGTCCTGGGGTCATGCGATCACCTCGTGCGACCTTCTGCCCGGCAATATCAATGGGGAAAGCAGATTCACTTAACAACCATCTTACTACTTTAAACCACTGCAGCGATTCACTTAATAGCAGCAAGGAAAGTTGTAAAATGGGGCAAAACTCACTTAACACATTTCTCAATTGTGGTCCTAAGTGGAGGACTACCTGTAATTCCCTCAGGTGTAGCCAATTTTATGTTCTCCCCTATATCCACACCCCTCTTAATTTACAAAAACAGAAATGGACGGTCTGCATTGTGTATATGATTATTTCAGCTACGCATTAGAGGTCATTTATTTCTTGCACCCTTGGCCAGTGGCGTTCTTATGGGCGAACAGACTCCAACGAAAAGCCCTTTTGCGACCTTCCTACCCATTTGCATCTCTTCATGGCTGCTAAGGTAAAGCGAGCGAGCTAGGAGTACAGCCTGAAATTGGCCCACGCTGCTGAACCTGCAAGGAAGTCCTGGCCAGAAGAGATGCCTGGCAAACGGCAGGCCCGGAGGCCAGAGGATTCGGAGTTGCCAAACCCTGCCTCGGCCCGCCCCCGGTTCGGCTGAGAGCCGCGGCGCTTTGTGAAGCCGGTGGTAGAGCGCAGGGCAGCCAAAGCCGGCGGCCCGAGTGCCATCGCCGCTCCACCCCGCGCCCAGGGGAGGTTCACACGCGGCAGCCGCCGCTCATGCACGCCCCGCTCAGCGCCGTCGCCGCCGCCAGCCCCGCTTGGCCGCCAGCCGGGTACAGAGCAACTTTCCCACGGCCGCCCAGCCACGCGTGTGGCTCTGCAAGCGCCCAACTGGCCTCCGGCCCAGCCAATTGCAGAAAGGAGAGGCGGCGGGTACACAAGAGAGCGGGGGGGGGGTAAGGAGTCGGGGGGGGGGGTGGGGGAAAGGAAGAACGGCGGGCTGCGAACTCGGCCGTGGAGCCAATCCGAAGCCTTGTCAGCCAATCGGAATCAGGAGTAAGAGAGGGCGTGTCACTGAGTGCCTTTCGGGTCGGCGGGGATTGGCCGGCCCCGGCAAGGCTTTAACCAATCAGAGGAGGCGGGAGAGCGAACGGCTACACAGAAGTCGTAAGCGGCCGGGAGCGCCTGGCGCGCCTCTCTGACTGCCCACCCCTCCCTCGGGTAAGAGGCGAAGCGTGGGAACGGGATGGGGGAGACGGAGCCGGAGGGAGCGCGGTGGCGGCTGCAAGGAGCGCACTGAGCTGGCACCAGGGAACCGCCACCCACTCGCTCATTCACACGGACGGGAAGCGGAACTCTTCCCCCGGTCCCAATCTTTCCCTTTGGACTGGTATCTTCTGGAGGGTCCGGCAGCATGAAGCGGACACACCCGGACTACAGCTCCTCCGACAGCGAGCTGGACGAACCCATCGAAGTGGAGAAGGAGAGCGCGGACGAGAACGGGTGAGGGCGCCGGGAAAAATCGGTCGCACGCGTAGGTAGGATAGGCAGGCAGGTAGGCAGGGTGGCTCCCTGGGTTTTCGACTTGCCGCCGCCGAGGCATCAGCTCCAGGGTGGCGTGGGTGCTTGCGTGTCATCCCGGCTCCGGGTAGGCAACACCGTGTACCCATGTAGGCATGCGGAAGAGCCTCCCTCGCTCTGCTCGTAAAACTAAAGTTATGCCCACTTGCCTTGAACCCAGCGAAACTCACGTCCGAATCAATCGTTTCGAATCGGGTACCCCTACTCACTAGAAAGCCGGCTAGCACTCTACAGGATTGAGTAAGATTTATTTCTGAATGAAGTTTAACATCTAAAGCGAGGGACGCTTTAGTATCTAAAGCAGTGTTTCTCAACCTTGGTAGCTTGAAGATGGGGGGACTTCAACTCCCAGAATCCCCCAGCCAGCAGCGCTGGCTGGGGGATTCTGGGAGTTGAAGTCCCCCCATCTTCAAGCTTCCAAGGTTGAGAAACACTGATCTAAAGTGAGAAACAGAGCAGCCTGGGCATCCAGTTTTACTGAGAAGTGATGGCCAAGAAAGAGCACTCTGTACATGCTTGAGGCAGCCTTTCTGGCTTTTAACAGCTTTTTCCAAGACTAACTGCTGACTAATACATGCTGGATTATATGGTATGTGTTATACATACCGGAAAGCAGATCTTGGCTCTCAAAGCAGGAAGAAACGGATGGTGTTGGGCATCAGAGTTACCTGGAAATAACATTAGCATTTATTCTGCAACCTTTTGCACACCTACACATGGGTCTGGCGTAGTAATTCGTAGGGATAGGGATTGTGTCCCATTTTCTGTTTTGGAGCTGTATTGACTTCTTCCTTCTTGCTGTTTTTAGAAATTTGAGCTCAGCTCCAGGTTCAATGTCACCAAACACCACTTCCCAGATCTTGGCAAGAAAAAGACGTAGAGGCGTAAGTTTTCCCCCCACCCCATGAATTGCTCTGATATGTGAAAACTTCCTCCCCCCTCAATTCCCACACTGCCCAGTATTGCTTCTGGGAGGAAAAAAAAACATCCTTTCCTTTCAGATTATTGAGAAGCGTCGCCGTGATCGGATCAACAATAGCCTATCTGAGTTAAGGAGGCTGGTGCCTAGTGCTTTTGAAAAGCAGGTATGTTTGGGGGAGTTCAGTGCTGCAATTTAGTCTTATTCTCTGGTTCTCTTTGTGCTTGGCTGGAGCCCAACTGCCTTTGCACTGACATTTGTCTTTGCTTTCTTAGGGCTCAGCCAAATTGGAGAAAGCTGAAATCTTGCAGATGACAGTAGATCATCTGAAAATGTTGCACACAGCAGGAGGGAAAGGTAAGATGTGTGTGTGTGTGTGTGTGTATTAGCATTGAAAGGCTGCCTTGGCGGTTAATTATAGGAACTGCAGATCAACAGGATTAGCTGGAAGCTGAGACTGAGAAAGTAGCTGTGTTCTCCCAAGGGTATCCCTGATATTGTTTAAGCAGCACTATTGTGATTGTGGGAGCTCAAAAGATTTTTCAGAAGTACAATACCTTTTGTATGGAAAGAGGTTGGTGGGAGAACTCCCAAAAGAGGCTGGTGAGGATGGAGGCTGCTTTGATGGGTGGGGAGAATGCAAAAATTTCAGTAGTGGAAAATGAAAACGGAATGGAATCTTCCTTGAAAGGAACATTAATGGTTGGAAACTTGAAAATAAGAAACCATATTGGAGCATTTTATAGTATGGTTACTTAGTACTGAATTGCACAGTACAATAGGGCTACTTTAGCATAATGTGATGAGAGTCTCAACAGAAACATATGCAGTGTTAACAAGTGAAATATTCATGCTATTCAGTGGCTGTAAGTCCCATTCTATATAAAGAGGCATATATAAATTTATATATATAAATTTACATAAAGTGCCTTTGGTACAAATAGGTTATTAGATGGTAGGAAAGGAGAAAACACACACACACACACACACACTAAATTGAAAGTATGTCTCTATATAGAATGGGCTCTGGTGGCTCAGCAGACTAAAGCACTGTTATTAACATCCACTTACATCTGCTGCCTGCAATTACTGCAAGTTCAAATCTCACCAGGCTCAAGGTTGACTCAGCCTTCCATCCTTTCAAAAGTAGGTGAAATGAGGACCCAGATTATGGGGGCAATAAGCTGACTTTGTATAAATATACAAAAGTATGAAGGCTATTGCTTAACGCATTGTAAGCCGCCCTGAGTCTCTGGAGAAGGGTGGCATATAAATCATTTTTTTTTAAAAATGGGACTATATATATATATGTTTCAAATACACATTTTGTCATTTTTGTGGCTTGTAGATGCCTATATTTTAAGTTATCTCTACTGATAACTGCTATAGTTTTATCCTTAACGGGTCAAAGTTTCTTAACGGGTCAAAGAAATCCCCCCCAGCAGGATACAGATATAATAGATTTGTAGTAACAAATCATAGAAGAGCATGGATACAAGAAAGTGGTGTAATTTCTTAACAATAATGTACTGTTTACTGATGCATCCTTGTAATAAGCTGGTACACAGTAGTGCAATTTATAGGCTGTAATTTGTATCCTATTAACTGGAGAATACTCTTATTAAAAATCAGAGTTGTTGCTTCAGAGTGTTCAGATGAGAGTCTCTCATTTGGCAACATCCAGAAATGTAGGACTAAAATTTCCATACTGGTTAGAGCATGGAAATTGTAATCCAATTTATTTGAGGCTTTAGATTGTGGATTATAAGTAGTGATTGCATTTTTTTGCTGACAATAAATGTTTGTTAATTATATTGTGATAATACTGTAACCAGTTCATTGTGATTTTCTGAAGATAAAATTGCAGTTACTTGAGGCCTTTTTATCAGAGTGAGGCTGGAATTGAACTGAATATTGTGACTTCTTAGAGATTATGGCCTTTGTGTTGTGTGAACCCAAGGGATAGGGATAATTCAGCAAACAATGATTAATTAAACAGTTAGCGTGCTGGGTGAACTCATGTTGGGTTTACTCATTTCTGAGTAAACATGGATAGTAAAAATGCATGTCATTCAAGGTTCACTTACTTGGACGAAAGATTTATTAGGATCAATGGCTTTTTTTTCTGGCAGAAGCGTGGAACTGCATTAAGATACAGATTAAATTCCTACCTTGAATATCATCATCACAACTGGAAAATTTTAAGCCCTAACAACTTCTTTTCTTAGCTTTGTTATGTAGCTTATTAAAAAATTACTAAATTACAGGATGGTTTTTTTTTTAAAAAGGATCATGTGCCATTTTTTAATCACAATAATATTCACAGTATTCCTGTAAAGGAATCAAACACTATCATCTTCCGCTCAACTCTATAATAAGTTAAGATCTGTTCTGCTAATGAGTTTGTGTCTGTGGACATTTAAATTGGGTTTGGGGTTAAGAGTAGGAAATACAGAGAAGAGACAGAGGAGATCCATAGTTCAAAGTGGGGCATATTTTTCTTTTCTATCTTTACCTATGGTTGTTATATTCTAGGCGCATGTGCAGCATGTAAATTGCTATAATTGCTAAAACATATTTATTATGCAGCACATCTGGATGCAGTTTCCGGACTCATTTATTTGGATGGGCAGTAGTTCCTACAATTTTATTCTGATTTTTAATGGTATTTTATTTAGGGAAAGCTATTGTTATTTGAATGAAGTGAATGTTCAAGAGCAGGGGTGGGTTCTACCTACCTTTACTACCGGTTCGCAAAGGGGCCGTGCATGCTTGCTTGCTTCGCTCACTTGTACACACACGCTCTTCTGAGCATGTGCAAAAGCTTATGCGCAGAAGTGTTCTGATGACGTCAGAGTCGGTGAGAGGAGCCTCCCATCGGTTTTACTACTGGTTCTATAGAACCGGTCCGAACCGGGGGCAACCCACCACTTGTTCAAGAGACAAATGATCCTATGCATACATTGGCCTAAAATGAATGTGATGTGTTAAGGTTTGGGCATAATACAATATGGGAAGCCAGCTATTGCAGCTTATTAATCGATCTGTAGTTAAAACAAAAGCACAGGACAATGTTAGCTGTGAACCCAGCCAATGGACGGGAACCCCCTTCTAATGACCCCCTCTTTAATCCTTTCTTCTAGGCTATTTTGACGCCCATGCTCTTGCGATGGACTACCGGAGCCTAGGTTTTCGTGAGTGCTTGGCTGAAGTAGCCCGCTATCTTAGCATTATAGAGGGGCTGGACAGCTCTGATCCTCTTCGTGTCCGCCTTGTGTCTCACCTGAATAATTATGCCTCTCAGCGGGAAGCAGCCAATACCTCACACAGTGGTCTTGGACAGATTCCTTGGGGCGGTGCTTTTGGACATCACCCTCACATCTCCCATCCTTTATTGCTGCCTCAGAATGGGCGTACCACTTCAAATGGTGCAGCGGCTTCTTCAGAAGGCCATCACCAGAGCAGAAATGTGCCTCCCCATGCTGAGTCCTCTTCCTTGAGACTGCCCCCTAACGGCGCCATCGGACCGGTGCTCCCTGTGGTCACTTCTGCTTCTAAACTCTCCCCTCCCTTGCTTTCTTCCATGGCCTCCTTATCTGCATTCCCCTTTTCCTTTGGTTCGTTCCACCTATTGTCTCCTAATGCTCTCAGCCCACCTGCCTCAGCACAGTCAGCCAGTCTGGGCAAACCCTACAGACCATGGGGGACTGAGATTGGAGCCTTTTAAGAACCAGAGTTATGTATGTGTGTATGGGACTGTAAATATCTATCTGAACTGTGGAGCTTCCAACTTCAGTTTGAACACTTTTAACAGTTTGGTGTAAAAGGTACAGTTTCAGTTTTAACAGGATATATACAAAAAGAGTTTCTCTTTTTCCCTTCCTCATCATTTATTAGGGCAGACTGAATGCAGAGGCTTATCTATATCTTTGAATTATAATAGATATTAATTTTAATGAATTACGCTGACTACTGTATGATGTTAGTCATGTTTTCAAATGATCCCATTTGTCTGAAAACACTGGTTTAAAGCAACTAGGATTTCTGTCTATATTATATATTATTTTTCTGTGTCAGGACTTCAACACACCTGTTGCTCTGCATTGTTTGATAGTAGTTCTGAGATGTTTTTAAAACAAAATATTTTGTTAGTCACGTTCTAACTTCTATATTTCCGAACAAAACCATTGACAAATCAGATGAAACCACTGTACTGATTCCAAAATACATGTATTGTTGGCTTGTTTTATTTCTCAGTATAACCCATGCTTTGGGCTTTTTTGTGCTGAATTATTCTACTTTTCATGGGAACAAACTATTGCAAGGGTCACAAAAAGTTTATAGATTGAAGTTTTTATTCTCTTCCCATTTTCTGCTTCTGTAGTTAAGGCCATTAAATGAATCAGATTTGCTGCCTAACTTCAAATAATTTGTTTTCCATTGTATTTGGTGTGCCTTTTATTCAGCGATCTCAGTTGGAATTAAGATCACTAATTTAATTTGAAGCCATCACAGTTGTTTTCCTAATTTTTATAAACAGAATGTTTCTAACATTAAAGGTTTTTTTTCATTCTGGGTTTTTGAGAAAGAGACTTGCTGGTGCTGCATTACCTAAGTCCTATTTCCCATTTATGTATGAAAATATCTTAATGAGATACTGCAATTAACATTGCTAGATTCAGCCCAGCAATTTAATGGTTAAGAGATGACCACTTCGTCAGTTAAGTGTGAATAATTTAGGTAGCATCTTACTCCATATGATTATTTTTAACATGTTGATAAAGCAGGACATGAGGTCATTCCAGTAACTTTTTCCTGTTCTTCCCAAATTCCTTTTGTTTCTCATACCTTGAAGTCCTACTTATGACTCCTAAAACCAAGATGGTATGATGAACAGATGAGAACTCAGTTACTTGGCTCCTGTCTCACTAGTGTAAAAATAAAACATAATATCTGTGTTACAGTACATCATATACAGTCTTGGATTTAACAATGGGAACTATGCAAGGATACTATCATGTTGGGTTCTCTTCAACATGCAATTGATCTCCCTTGGAAAGAATATAAGAAAAAAATAAGGATTTCCACTGACAAGTTAGTTCTGCTGGTGATCAGAGGAAGTTGGATACCACCAATTGTAAATTACAGAACAAAAAAGTTTGAGAGCACCCATGGAAATTTAGTCATTCCTGGAAAAGATAGGATATGGCATAAGGTATAATTAGCAAGTTTTGAGAAAGTTTAAAGCTTTCCTTAATCTCTCAGTAATTCAGAACTGAAGCTTTATTCGGCAGTGTTTCAGGACTTCCCATGTTTATAGTTTCTGGTTATTTATACAGTTGGTGCTCCATAACATCTTGAATTTGAAAATTTCAGCCCATAACAAAAACTATACAGGAAAATGTGATATATATTCATTTAAAAGTACAAGCAAAATGAATACTGTGAATAATTTAAAAGAGATTATTTGTTTAAAGCTGTATAATTTATCTTTTTCACATAACCAAAGCTTTTGCATAATAGAATTTGAGAATTTTACTATGGGATCCACAAAGCAGATGAGCATTAATACCATCAACAAAAATGGTTACTCTATACCGCAGATACTTTTTTTCTATACGAAATGTATTCACTAAACTTTGGAAAGGAGTTAAACAAAATAAAACTGAGGGTACTGATTTCCTCAGTTTGGAAAGGACTGTTGTATATATTTTGGGCTGGTTTTATAAGAATCTATTCTGTTCCTTAAAGATGCTCAACAGAGTTTCACCCAGTTGGACTTGAATACTTTTGTACTTGTGTTGTGCCTAAATAAAAGAATAAGAACAAACAAGTTGATGGGACGTTTATTTAATTAAACAAGAAAAAAAAACTTTTCAACTTGTTATACCGTTACTGTAATTACTGTTTGGGGTTGCTTTAAACATTTAATACTTTGTGTGTTATTTTCTATTGCATTTTGTGCCCTTACTTTACCAGAGCTTACAAAGAAAATATGTATCGTGAACCATTTTTAAAGCTATTTGATTGTTTATACACCAATGTTTTAATTGTTTGGTTAAGATGTGTATTTAATGTGAGTTCCCTACAATAACAATTTCTTTTTTTATAGATTGCATATTAAATAATGTAAACTCTAAATCAGATGAGTTCAACCTTGTGGTATTGGGAGCTTGGTTAAATAAAATATTTGTGTGCAAGGAGTATTGCAAAAGGCAAGGCAGTCATGCAAAATTTTGAGCTGCTACGGTTAAAGAGATTTGAGTTAAAAAGTGTAAATGGAGTTCTGAAGTTGTTTCCTTTCCAGGATAGGGACTTGGAATACTCATCCATAATTAGAAATGAATGGAATTAATGTCTGTATTAACATTCATTGGAATAAAGGGATCACAAGAGAATAAGGGGGACATAGTGAGCCCTACACATGGAGTCCTACACATGGAGCTGGTACTGGTTGTGCTCACTTCTGGGAACCAGAAGCATGGTAGCAAACAGCCAGCGCTAAGTCATATCTTTCCATGTGTATCCACCATAGTGTTCCTGCATACTTACTCTCTTGTAATCCTTTCCTCCACATGCTCTCTGCTATGGGAATTGAGATGAAACAAACAGGTCAGGCACAGGAGAGATTGTTCAAAGCAGGGGTCTCCAACCCCTAGTTTGTATAAGAGTCGGGCGTGCACGAGCACTCATGAAAAATTTCATTTGTGCAAGTGGGTGCGCACACCCTCCATTTGCACAAATGGAGCTTTGCGTGCACAGAACCATCCCCTCTTCCCCTCCCACCGCTTCTGCTGGCCAGTCCACAGAGCTGAAAAGGTTGGGCACCATTGGTTTAAAGGGATTGCTTGTTTAAAAGCAATCTCTGTGCTCTGCAAGGGGATAAAAAAGATTGGGCCAGGCACAGGGGAATCCATGCTAACTGACTAATGCTGAAAGAGAGGGAGGGAGGGAGGGAGGGAGAAAGATTGAGATTGTGAAGGTTGGAAGTGTGCACATTGGTCACAAACTTATTTTTTCAGCACCATTGTAACTGCACAAGGAAGTTGATAAGCAAGGCCTATCTATAATTAAAGAAAAACAACAAAACACTAACAGACCTCACACTAATGAGTAAGGATAATCTTGTATTGAAACTATTATCTATCTGCATCATCTCTATTATCTATTCCTATCATCCATCCATCCGTCCAGCTATCATCTCCATCTATCATCTGCCTCTCTATCTTATCATCTATCTTGTTACTGCTGGCACTGGTGTAATAAAGAAAGATTCCTGGACAATTCATTGTTCCAGTATTAGGTCCCCAGTAGTATCTGAAGATTCTAAGCCACTATATTTTATATTTAAATTTATATTCTGCCTTTTGTACAGGAGCTCAAGGTGATGTACTAGTGCCACAACAAGAATTCTGTGAGGGCTGTTACGTGCTGAAAACTAGCAACATAGTGTTCCACCATTTTGAGGCAGGGAATACATGAAAGGTATCATCTCAGCTTTAAAATAGCTTTTAAAGGAAATAAAAGTTATAACCTCTCAACTTCCCCTCAAAGCAATCCTGTTTACGTGTTTGAATCAGCCATCACTACTTCTCATCAATTAACTTATTCCTGTGGTCTGGCTCTGCAAAAATGCTGGCGATATAATGGTACATTATGAACTTGTGAAAGATTCACATCCTAAACATCTGGCCATTCTTCCTTTATCAATTAAGAGAATAGCTTCCTCACAAGTTCACACAGGGTGAATTAAGGAGACTGAGAAAGCAATAACCTTAGGATCCTGGTGGAGAAATTGGATTCTAAATGGAAAACAATCCATTTGCTGAGATTTCCCTAACCTTAATGTATTTTATAATAGTAAATCTTGTTTAAGAAAATTGCTTTATGTAGAAGCAGAGCATCTAAAAATTTGGATTCATTCCAAATTGTTTTAAGAGAAAAAAAACTACTATTGAATTCTGACAGTAGGGCACAGTAAAATGATACTATGCACATTTTCCAGATTTAATAAATAATTAGTACTATAGCAAGTTATTTGTGTTATGTAAGATATAAATTAAGACACTGTTCCGTTCCAACGTTTATGTTCCCTAAAAGTCTGTAGAGATTCCCAATCATCCAGGTTATAGTTGTCCCAAAGGTGCTTTTTCAGTAGCCAACTGGACTTCCTTGATTTTTCTTTGAAGATGTTTAACTTCTCATCCAAGAAGCTTCTTCAGCTCTGACAGCATAGTGGGGAATGGAAGGATTTATATTCCTTGCAGACAGCTGGTCATTAACATCCTTTTAGAGCAGGGGTGTCAAACTCAAGGCCCGTGGGCCGGATCCGGCCCGTGGGGTCCTTAGATCTGGCCCGTGGGGCTGCCCTGGAAATAGCGAAGGACTAGCCCATGGTGCCTCTGCCAGTGAAAACGAAGCTTGGGAGGGCCACATGCTGCCCTTCCCAGCTCTGTTTTCACTGGTAGAGCCCTTGGGCCAACACAGGCGTCCCTGACATGAGTGATGTCAAGCTGGCCACATCCCCCGAGCCCCCGAAGTCAAACAAAACCCTGATGCAGCCCTCAATGAAATCGAGTTTGACACCCCTGTTTTAGAGGGTTGTTGAAGCAATTGGAGGTTTATCTGTATCCTCAGGGTCCCCTGAGTAGTGCTCCTGGTTCCTGTAGTCTGCAATTTTTCTCTGGAAATCCATTCCGACTCCCACACCATTCAAAGGGTGTTCATCCAAAATGGTACAGTTAAAAGTCTGTAGAGATTTTCAGTCATCCAGGTCATGATTGTCCCAAAGGTGCTTTTTCAGGAGGCAACTAAACTTTCTTGTTTTATGTTTCTTATATTTTTTATACAAATGGAAGAGCTCCTGAGGACAAATGAATGGACAGAAGATGTAAGTGATTGAAGACAAGAACTGTGAAGTATGGGTATTAATGAAGATTAGTTATTGTTTGGGTAAAATAACCCAATGCAGATACATTTCTGTTTTGCTTAGTAGGGCATTGTTAAATAATGGCTGAGAATGATATTTAAATCCAGTCTTAAAAGTTGGTTGAAATTTGTAAGACTGATTCGGGAGTAATTCGACTACTTCTCTGAGTAACTTAAGTCTCATTGATTTTGGTCTAATTTTAAACCACTAGGGAAGATGACATCTGAAAGGCAGTATACTGTACAGGTAGCCCTCATTTAGCAACTGCCTCATTTAGTGACCATTTGCAGTTATAATAGTGATGAAAAAACACTTTACAACCAATCCTTACATTTACAATCTTCGCAGGTCTGTAAAGCAAAGCAAAGCAAAGCAAAGCTGAAGTAAGGCCATAAGCACAGTTGCAATTTTACTTAGTGATCAGTTTGCTTAATAACCCACTTGCCAGTCCCAATTGTGATTGTTAAACTACCTGCAACAGGTTATTTTTTTAAGTCACTCCGCTTGAAACTACATTCCTGATAGGTTAAAGAATTAAGGAATTCACCTCTGAAAATAATATGATAAATAGTAGGTAGAAACATGAATTTAATGACAGAAAGTTGTGCATTTCATTTGCCCTTTTCTGTTACTTCTTACAAACTTGGCACTAGCAATAATTTTCTATCTGCTGTTCTTTATGTTTTTTAAAAATATTGTCTACCTTTACCACAGGTGAACTCAAAGCATAAAAATTATACAAAACATATCCAACAATAAAAAGAGAGACTTGATTTACCTACTACTTGATTTACCTACTATTTGATTTACCTAACAATAAACTATTTAGAACTATTTCTGTAGTATCAAGTTTTTGCTGAACCATAATACCTCAGTTTGAGGAATGTCCTTCAAGAAACCAGTCTACAAAATAGGGAAAGGGACTTACTGAAGAGGCTCTGCTTCCTTATCCACAACTGAACAAGATCTGTATTGAAAGTAAATGCTACTGTGGAAGAAAAGGATGACATTCTTCCTCTACATAACTGTATTTCAATTAATTATCTAATGTACATCTCTCAGATGCAATTTGCATTTTAAAAGTCCTGCACAGTAAATGCAAATATATATTTATTATCGGAGGCAGACACTCTATATCTATGGTGCATTAGTTCATGGACATAGGACATATACAGCAAAGCTGAGGGAAATTGCAAATGTACCAAGCATTCTTTAAACAGTTTAAAAATAGCTGTTCCCTGTATTACTTTGCAAGGAAAACAGCAGTTAAGTTAAACAATGTCCCTCGCCTCATATTGATGCCTTACTGTCTGTAGATTCTCCCTTTGAATTTTCTTTAGGCATTATTGCATCATCGTTTTAAAGGAAGCTATCAACAACAAGAGGAAATCCTCTACTAGTCCTGAATAGTCCTTATTCAAATGGTCCTTCCGTTCTGTTGGGAAGTGTATGTAGTCAGAATAACACTCTATGAAACATGTGAATTACTGCAGCAAGAAAAATAACCATTCCCCACCCAATGGACAAGAATCATGGACAAGAATAAGCAAAAAATCATTTATCTGGAGAAGTTCTAGCTTCTTCCACCTAAAATTAAATTCAATAATGAGTATTACATAGCTTATATATTGTAGTTAGGTATGTACAGAAACAAACACTATTTTAATATCTATAGCAGAAAATTCCAAAACAATGTTTGGGAATTGTGAATATTAAAGCAGTGGGATATCTTGATCATGACTGTTTCACAAGAAAATGTAAAAAAGGATGAATGAGAATCCATGTGTTACTTGTAAGTTTTTTTCAGATCCAAAACAGTGGCTGTGCTGCAAGCATTGGGGGTTGTAATTGGTGACATTCTCATCATCATTAATAGTTTCCTATGCAAAATGAGTTTGCATGTT